TTTTTATTGTGCTGTTATTTTATGCCTTTATCTAGATGAAGGTACATATGCCCCTCCTGTTATTCTACTCCCAATTCCTGTGGAAAAATGAGGGGATTTTTGCTTTCTTCCTTGGAGAATCTCTTAAGCATGAGGATGTTACAGAGGAAGTGAGCACCGTCACTTCTGTCTTCCTTTGCACATCTTTAGAAGAAAAGTGTTATTCCTGTTCTTGTTTGGAGTGGAAATTGTGGGGTCATGCTCTGGACTCTGCACTCAGTGTCACCCTTTGTGGTACTACAGTGGGAGTTGGATAGATGACTAGTAGGAGTTTCCATCTTTATGTGTTTTGTACACTAAGTTCCCCCTCAGTGTTGTAGGAGTGAACATTTCACTGGAGTTTAGAAGCACCTAACTAAAAGATACAGACCTAAATTCTTAGATTCTTTAATGGAGTTGGATGCCATGAGTTTCTCTGAAAATAATTGCCTTCAGTCATTTTGGGTGTCTTCCTTGGCGGCACATATTTTACATGATGTGCTGCATTTGGACCTGTATCTCTGCAATGACAGCAGTGGGGAGAATCACCACACAGAGCAGAACTGCATCTGGGTGAGGCCAGGACTGCACTCAACTGCTGTTCTGTACCTGCTTGATATTCTCATGCCCAGACTCCACAAAGCGCTGCTGTAGCATGTGGGATTTGCCTGTTCTAGGCTACAAGAGGCTGAGTGCTGTTTATAATTACTTTCTAATTTACAGAGCATAACATGGTTTGGCTTTAAGCATAAAGAGAAGAAAAAGGAGTTTTTAAACTGCAATTGGAGCAAATTGTAATAAGGAAGTTGAGTTGCTGGCAGTAGTCCTTCTGGTGTAGAGAAGTCTTATGTGCAGTGATTTAAAAAGTACATTAAATTAATCACAAGCTCCTAGAAGTAAATATTAACTCAATTAGACTGAAATCACCCTTATATTTTATTTTTTGGAAATTCATTAAATAAGGGTGTTTTGTGTTCAATTGATGTTTGCATCAATTGTCTTACGATGCATTTTGCTTGCATCTTATCCTTTCTACAAGTCCTTGACACCTACAAATTATTAAAGAGAGAAGTTATGCCTATAGTTAAAACACTGTCTAAATCCTTAACAGAACTGGAAAAAATCACCCTGGTAGCAGCATCCCATTTTTGATTCAAGACCTGCAACTAATTGCTTTCTAGGTTTTTTTGGTGTTTTTAATGCAATTTTCTCTTTTTTAATCTTTGTTTTGTTGGTTATTTATTACTTTCATGAGCAGATGTTGTATTTTATGTTCTTAAATAATTATGTCAGTGTATTTACATAGATAAAAAAATCTGGCCTATAATTGTCAATATCACTGTCTTGGTAAGTACTTTGATAAAATAATTTTTTTTCTCATCAACCTTTAATTTGTATTTAAGATACATAAATATTGATATGATTTTGATATGTTATCACTTATGAAAGGTTCTCCTCCCACCAAAAAAAAAAAAAAAACAGAAAGAAAGAAAAGGAAAAAACTCTTGTGGCAAGATAAAGTATCTGCTGTCATAGAAAAGCAAAATTGCTGCCAGTCACTGCATTGTTTCTCAACATCCATTCTGGGTTTGAATGCCTGTACGTCCAACAAACACCAAAAACTTTCATTATTCCACAGCTGTGTTGAACAGAAAAATGTCTTTGAGTGACATTTCAAGTGCAATAATCCTATTTGCATTCGTATTCATAACTCACAAGGTGTTTCACTTTTTTTTTGTCCAACATAACATTCCTTTTGCAAAGTTTAGCTTTGGATATGTAGAAATACAAGGGTTTCAAATGCCATTCACAGATGTCAAACTAACATCTACCCTAGAGCTCTCGAGGACTTGGAAGTGGAGCTTAGCTGTGAGTGCTTGAGTTATAGTTGCTGTTGCTGAAGTGGAGGGTTTAGCTCACTCAATCCTTAGTGCATCTGCCAAAAATCTCTTATGACAACTTCCAATTTTTATTTCATTTCAGAAGGAAAAAAATTACCTGAGTTATGAACTTGTGATACATTTTAATTTGGAGTTAGCAGTTAGCCACTTTCCTGAAAAGACTGGAAAATTCTATTTTGTAAAGTTTAATTTGAATAGGTACATTCAGAAGGAGTCTTTTCTTGCTGATAGTGCAGTGGAGCCTCTGAAAGGCTCCAGTTAAGGCCTAATAGACATGGCACAAAAAATGTGGAATAAATTTAGCAAAAGATATTAACAGCATGGAAAAATCTCAGATAGCACCAGTGAGTGTATCCCCTCTGCACTCAGTGATGTGAAATCAGTCTGCAGCAGCACTAGTTCCCATGTGTTTATGTAATATTGGCAATAAAATCTAATTAAGCTCCTGAAAGCAAAATTTTACCTTTTGTTATTAATTTTTGTTTTCTCCCATTGCCATTTTTGGGTCAACAAATTCAGACAGAACAAGAGTAGACGCAGTATGAATATTAACATTGCATATTACTATTGAAATGTATATGTGAAATATAGGAGTGGGAATATTCCTACTGTGTATGTAGGTGTGAGTAATTTTTTTAAAATTTTAAATTTTTTTTAAACTGCTTTTGTCTGTGTTATGTGTAATAAATATAATTCGCGCCATTCCTCGTATGAAATATGTAATATTGGATATTTGTTAAATCATGCCCGTCGTATTAGTTCTCCCCCCCCTTTACAGGCGAGACTGGATGTATATTAGAAACTGATTTACAAGTAAAAGGATGTGGCTTGGCCAGGAGATGGGCCATGTCTGGGCTCCAGGTGTTAATCATCACGATCATCAGTGCTGATCGTCCAAGATGGATATCATGGAAATCCTCAGACAGATCCATGTGAATGCAGCCTTCCCGTAAACTCTCATCAAGAATTCAACTACTCCGGACATTGAATTATTTCTCCTCATCACCAAAAAAAAGAAAATCTTATTAACCTATAGACTCTGAATAGAAGAAAAGACTAACTGCTCAAATCTTGGCCTCAGGCGGAATTTTCCCTATAAAAACCGCTTGTGCCAGGATAGAGGTGTGTGGTCATAGGAGAAAGCCTCTGCTGAGGCTGACCTCTTTGTTGCACACCCAGGGTCGACCCCGGGCTCGGCTCTGTCATTTCCGTGTGGCTGACTAGATAGAATTTGACCGCAAATAAAATGATTTTTATTTTTTAATCTGGCTGAATAAATTCTCATTTATAACATCTGTTACATGTGCTTGCATGTAAACATTAATTTGTGAAAATCAAACCTCAGGTGCATAAAGACAACACAAAGCTGCAAAGGGGTGCTCCCTCCTCTCTTTCTGATCTTAAATTTGATCTTAAAAAAATCCTCAAAGTTAAAATTCAACTTTTTAAATTATTGTATCACGAAGAAGAAATAAACAGAAGAGCAAGTGATCTGCCTCTTTCTTTCATCCCGAACTTTGTCTAAAAACCTGAAGGTGCTTCTCACAGTATTGTCAAGTTACCCTGCTTCAAAGGGATGCCTAAGATTTATAGTATTGGTTCCCTGGAAACTCAGGCTGAGTCTCTTTTTTTTTAAAAGCCTTCATTTGGTTACTTTAGATATACCTCCCATTCTGTTACAACTTGATTACTTTTGATAAGTACTGCTAGAACAGAACCTCAAAAGCAGTCATTGTCCTACTCATCTTCTGAGTTGTTGTCAGAAACTGCATTTAATCTAAATATCCACTGCCCACTGTTCCAGAGCTATCCATAACAGGACATGTTTTTCCAGTACTTTATCTTAAAAGGGAATGTTTTCTATTAAATCCCTTGCATGAGACTCACAGCACTATGACCTGAAGCAAATATTTGTTTTCTGTTTTGTAATATGGGCTGGGTCATGGGAGAAAGCGAACCCCAGCAAAGAGAGACCTGCGTGTCTTGAAAAAGTAACTGTAACATATATTTATCTTTGTCCTACTGTCAGGATGTAAACCTATCTAAATAGAACCTGCACAGATTCTGAGGTAGATGCATTAATTACTTACAATGTGGGTATTGGAACTTTTGTCCCCTGGTCCAAAATTTACTGAATTTCACAGCATTGAGTAAATTGGCTGAATTCAATATGTAGAGCATATTTTTGCGCATGAGGGAAGGAAATATTTTCAGGAATTGCTACCTTTTCCTTTCTGCAGTATTGCATCCAGGGCATCTCTGGAAAATACAGACGTTGCTGTTGGCAGAAATGCTGTCACAGAAATGTGACTGCTGAGCAGCAAACCAAAGGGAGAACAAGTCCGGGCATAAATAATAACAGCCCTGACTCTGCAGGGGCTGGAGCTGAGCAGGGTTTTGTCCTTGGCTGCAGTTTCAGACCTTTCCTTGGTGCCTCAGACACTCAGTGTTTGAAACAGTGACCTGCAGGTTGGCTTTGGCAGCCAAGGCACTCCATGGCCCTGCTGCCATTCCGGAGGAGAGCAGCTTCCCAGCTTTCTTGGCCAATCTGAGCAGCTCTGCAGCTCTCTCCCTCCTGCTTTCTGGCACAGCTCCGTGCTGGCCGGGGCTGGGGGAAGGGGACGGGGGTGTGGGGGCGTCTGCATCTATCTCCAGGCTTCTCTGGGGAAATGGCCCAGCTAATTTTAGAAGCAAAAAACAGTCAAAAGGGGCCCATTTCAAATGCAGCCAGAGTACCTCCCCTCTAATCAGCGCTGAAATCTGATTGATACTAGAGCCTTTCTTTAGCAGAATGTTTATTGCTCTTGAAGGGGGTGGGGAGAAAAACAACACAAGAGACCTTTTACAAGGCACGAATAAGTGAACAGCAGCTCTTTAAATATGAACCTGTGGGAACTGGCAGATACAATATATCACGGGGACAGAAAGGCCAGATGACAACTTTCTGAGTACATGGCATAAAATCAGATGGGGAGAAAATAAACTGGTACTTTTTGGCTGACACAACCTGAGGAAAATTACTGGCTGTTGTGCAGCTCTTGCTGGTTGTTTCAGGCATATCATGTTCTGTAGTGATTAAAATACAACTGGTGACCGCAGGAACCCAAATGCCCTTCTGAATTGTGTGCAAAGTGTGACAGTGTTTCCTTCAACGCAGGTAGTTTTCAGAATATGCTTCAGCAATGGCTTTTTATTGCATTTGATTCCTGTATTGTTGTACTGAATGAAAGCACAGGAAGTGCAAAATCTTGTGGCAATATTCTGTTTATAAGAGGAAAGGTCACCTGTTGTCAGGGTCTGTGGTTGCTGTATGGATTCACACCGTGCCAGGGAGGTAGGGAAGACAAAATCGAAAGTATGAACATTTCTCAATCTTTCTTCTAAACTCTGCAGCACAAATTGAATGTTTTTCTCTGATTGAAATATCTACCACAAACCTAGTGCCGTTCTAGAACATTTTGTTACAGCTGATTGTGCCTCAAATCTCATCTTCAGGACATTTTGGGAAGAATTCTTTACTCTCTTTAATCTGGACTAACATGACTGCTGGTGAGTGATTTCTTGCATGATTTAAATTCTCAGAGCACAGCTGATGAGAGCATTAGCAGTCATGTAGTATACAACTTGTTACAACTGTCTGCTCTAGTGGGTTTTACCAAGCTCTCACCACAAATTCTAGTGGGAACAGATGAGTCTGCTAAAGGCTTTTGATAAATACCACTAAGAACATTTTTTGAGAATTGTAGGACCTTTTTGAGGATGTATGTAGAGATCTAATGTGAGGCATGGAAGTGAGAGCCCTAAGGCAAGGAAACTGCTCCATTGTTTTTGCTCATAAAATTGTTTTAGGGCTTAAGTCACTTCTGAGCCAAAAACAATAAGATATTAGACCTCAGCAGAGCTATTTTGAGAAATTGGAATACTTAATAGTAACCACATATTTGGCCATGATATGAGTGTGGCCCCAATTCAAAGAAATCGTAAATACTGCCGTTTGTCCAAATTATTGTTCTCTTGCTATGTCTAAACTTCAAAGAAAAATAGTTTCTTAATAATTTGAATGCTGCTATAAATAATTTTTCTCTTTATTGCATACTGAGGAAAGAATAGCATTCAATGAGTCATACTTATTTTGGGGTCTGTGGACAAAACTCTCAAGGCTTTATGATCTTCCATAATGTGCAAAAGCTTTAAGGTTCAACAGTCTTGCTTCTTCCAGCAATAAATTACAGGCAGATTCTTAAAATACTTCAACATGAGTAACTTAACTTGCTTTAAGGAACACCTTGCTACTAAGTTGCTCTCAGATTCAAATGGATGAAAGAAAAACCTCCTTCATGTAGGTAAGGTGAGGGAAAATCTTTGTCCAGACATTTCTTGTGTGTGATTGGTGCTATTATTCAATAAGGTGGAGATAATGCGTTCACTGAATGCTGTAATGCAAAACTGCCAGGATTGGTTTGAGAGTTTTTAATTATTTACTTAAAATTAAACCTACTAAAGAGAAGTGACACTTGGCCATCATTTATTGCAAGTGACACAAATTTTGTTCTATTACAGCTCTAGTCCTGTTGAATTGCATGGTAGCAGAGAGAAAAATTTGACTTTCCTTATTATAATTTACAGCTTTGAGCCAAATGCCAGATAAGCTGCTTCAATACCATTTTGATCATTTTGATAATGTGGAAACTCCATTGGGATTGTATCTTTTGTAAAATTACAAACCCAAAGCCTGAAAAGACAGTGATTTTGAGGTGTGCAGTTTCTTGCCTAAAGAATTATCTTTTGCAAATAAGTACCTTTGAGTGGCCTGGGGCAGCAGAGCTGCAGTTTTTGCTGTCCTGAGTAAATGTCAAGAGGTCTGAAGTTCAGTGGATGCATCTTGATGTTTTACTAGGCCTGGCTTAGCTGGAAGGTTTATGGCAGTATTGTTCATTTTGTCAGAATAAGAGCTGAAATAATAAGCCCACCTCTGTGACTGAGTGCAGCTTCATCTTCAGTACCCATCTGATAGGAGAGAGAAGCAATCAGAGCCACAGTAAGGATGGGATCACCAGGAAGCTACTGAATAAGGTTCTTTGGAGAAATTTCCTGTGTCTTCAAATACCTCATCCAGAAATCTCTCTCCATTTTGCAGTGGCTTTGAGGGAAGCATATGATGCACTGAAAAACACTGAATAATCCTCTGACTGACCAGATCTATTCCATAACATTGTCAAAGAGCTCAGTAAATACATATGGAAATAATTTCTATTTGTGTGCAAATGCAAATATAACTGACCTTTTAATACACTTCTGCAGTCACATTTGTGAACTTTGAGTCCTGAGAGATTGCGTTCAGGTTTCCTCAAAAGCTATGCCCAAACTTAGAAGATGAAATGAAATTCTGAAGTTTAACTTTTTTTTTTCCACCCTTTCGAGGATGAGGTTCTCTTGAAAAGCCTTGGTTTGTTGATTTATCCTCAGCTTTGGAGCAAATGTTTCTTAACCCCACTATACTTCCAATTTCTGCTTTGTTAAAATGTAACAGTCACTCCTTTCAGTCTGGAGATTAGAGAGAATGATGCTATGTTACTGAAGAATGTATTTTGAATTTGTCTTTCATTAGACTTTTACAGGTGAAAGTACTATAAAGCTAGTAAGTGGTCCTATATGATGCACTCAGTAAGGAAGTGCAAGATTTAAGACTTCTAGGTGAGAGCACTGAGATGAGGGATTTTGCTTCCAACATTTCAGGAACTATTTAAACACAATGAACACTGTGAATATGGATTGCTGCAAAGGAACTGTGGTATTTCAGAAACTCCATGCCTGCAAGAGGAGCAGCTTTTGCACCCTTTTCCCTCTATGCTTTTGCAGAATTTGCAATAGTTTTTATAGGACTTCATGAAGACTACTCACGCTGAATTCTTTTTACTGTCTCTAAGTATGATTTTACCCTACATGCTAGACAAATGTCAGATGAACTGTGGAGAAATATTTGATTACATGGGAAATCTGCTCTTAGGGCTAGTGGGTTTTTTTGTTTAACTGCACTGTTAGGTCCATGAAAGTGCAAGATAGTCAAGCACAGACCTCTTCATTGTACAGCTTGTTTACAAATAGTGAGTGGCTGATTCCGTGGGATCTCACCTAACACAAAACTGTCCATAATTATAGGAGGGGTTCAGTGTCTCATAGGCTACTAAAAGCATTTTCTTGCAAAGTATCAGGATTTTCCACCATCAATAAATCTAAAGCTTTTTATTGTTTTGGGGTAAGACATACTGGCAGCAACTAAAACCAGTGCTAGAACAGTAAACAAAAGTTGATTTTGTCCATTTTTCACAGGCATTCATCCAAACCAAATAATTTCAGGTTCAGGCTAGTAGGAGTAGAGAATACAGAGACAGAGATGCTACTTAAGGAAAAGATGAATTAATGAGTAAGTAATTTTTCTGTATCTGTCCTTCTCTAAGAGACACACTCATATCTGTAAAAACTCAGATTAACCTCAGTAGAAGACAAATACACATATTAACATGCCTTGAGCAACCAACGCAATCCTTGTGATCCATAAAAAGAAAATAAGGATTTTAAAAGAATTACCTATTAAATTATTGTAAATATTATTTGAATATAAAATATATACAGTGGTGGGACATGTTCGAATCATGAATTGCCAAATTTAAATATAGTAAATGTTAGATGTCAATATAATCTCCTAAATAAGTCTGAAGGACTAGTGATGATCTCTTGGCCAAATTTTTCTTCTACATTGTAGGACATTTATCAATTAACTAATTTATTATTGGTCAGTGGTTATTTTAAGGGCTGCTGAGACCATCTGCTCTGCTGATGTAGAAGAGCTTTAACACTTTGGAAGTTTTGATTTCAGAAGTGAATACTGTGGGTTCTCCTAGAGATATACTAAAACCTGTATATATTTCTGGGGGGAAAAAATAGGGACCATTTGCTTTTCACTGAAACTAGCATAAGTGTCATGGGTTTGTACAGAATACAGTTTTTTCTTTCTTTTGGTGGCAAAATGAACCAGCTGATAAAGAAAGTTGAGAAAAAAAACTACCTCTATAGTTTTCATATTTCATATTATTTACATGAAAACCAGCAGGAAAGTTTTTCCTGTAGCAGAGCAGAAGGGATTGTATTACAAAATCTTTTGTCAGAACATTGTTTCTGACTGAAATTTTTATGATGAGGTCAAATAGAGCTTTCAGCTGGCTGAGGTATTTTTGTTTCTTGCCTCAGGAAAACAGAGGGAGAAGGGGATGCAAGAGAGAACTAAGACAAAAATTTTGAAATATATTTTAAGAGCTCAGTCATAGAAATCAAGTGCATCTTGTCCTGGTCTTTCAATTTGAAGATGAGGATAAAATATGGAATCACCAGGGTCAGAACAGAGCAAGGGCAAAGGAAGCCCAACCCATTGTCAGCAACTAAGTTTCCAAATACAGAATAGTTTAATTGTCTGTCCTTGTTAGGCCGGTTCTCAAGATTTAAAAATAGCCAAGATTACTCTTTAATCAACACCTGCAAAGTATGATGTGGCAGTGACCTGTGCTGAACATCCTACATGTCTGTGCTGTTTGGGTGGTCACAGATTTATGAGTCTTCCTGAATGTCTCCTGGATAGCTGGGAGGAAGGCCACTGTTCTTTTAGGCACATAAATAAATGCCAGTTGTGGTAGTGGCAAAGCTGAAACTTGGATGGTGCCCTTTACCTCCTCTCTCCCCTCATGTCTAAAATACAGGGAAATACCACAGTATAGTCACCTGGTTTTATTAAAATATTTCAAATTTAAGTTTACCAAACTCTGAGATTTAGACAAAGCTGGTCTAGAAGGTGCCATCCTCCACCGCTTTTGGGGGAAATCTGCCCAGTGATTCACAAAGTATATTTATGAGTTGCTAGTTGATCCAAAAGAATTATGCCTACCTCCTTAGCTTACTGTATGCACATATGTGATAATGTTTCAGTGCTCCTCCTATTTATACTCCCCTTAATCTTTTTTATGTAATGAAATGAATTGTTGTTTCTCTAAGTGTTTAAAAATAAAGAAATAATTTCTTACTTACAGGTGATAGTGTAATTAGGCAAAACTTAATCAAATGTCTATCTGCATCATTCCATTAGTTTGATGTCTTAAGTTTAAGCTT